TAGCGAATGATATGGGAATAAATGAGGCCACATTAAGAAAAAGATTAAAGTGTGGAAATGTACCAAAATCATTGGGACGATTTCAAAGCGATATTCCAAACGACCTAAAAGCTGAATTAGTACAACAGATACGAGAATTAGATCAGATGTTTTATAGAATTAAAAAAAAATTGCAAATAGCAGCGTATAAATTTGCTGAATCTAATAATATTTCTCACAGTTTTAATACAAATCTACAAATGGCTGGTGAGTCATGGGTAAGAGGATTTTTTGTCAGCGGAACAAATTTGCACTTCGATAGCCAGAAAAATGTTCGATGGCCCGAATTATAGGTTTTAATAAAAATGAAGTAAGAAGATTTTACGAGTACCTTAAAAATCTTTATGAACTAAGGCAATACTCTCCAAGTTATAACATGAATGAAATGGGTCTATCAACCGTGACTAATAAGTTACCGAAGACATTAGCGAGCAAGGGAAAAAAACTTAGCTAGTGCAGATCGTGGACAACTTGTAACGGCTGTATGTTGCATGAACCCCACAGGTAACTATATTCCTCCAGCACTCATATTTCCCAGAGAAATAATGAAGGAAGAGCTGTTTTTAAATGCACCATGTCAAACTCTGAAATTAATTTCTGAATCTGGATATATCAACACGGATCTTTTTTGTAAGTGGTTAATCCATTTTAATAAGTTTGCCAAACCCAGTGCTGAAAACAAAGTTCTTTTAATTTTTGACAATCACAGCTCCCATCGTGATCTGCAAGCTATAAAATATTGCCGAGAGAATTACATTGATCTTTTATCTCTACCGCCTCATTCAAGCCATAAACTACAACCACTGGATATTGGTTTTCTTGGTCCTTTGAAAAAAACCTACAATAGGGAATATGACAAGTGGATGGTAAGTAATCCAGGTAAAGTAATTACACAATTTTAAGTTGATGGATTATTTAGTACTGCTTATGGTTCTGTAGCAAATAGTCAGAAGGCCGAAAATTATTTTAAAACATCGGGAATATTTCCGTTTAATCCTGATCAGTTTCATGATATGGATTTTGCCCCCTCCTATGTTACCGACGTACCTTTGGACAATCCAGTAAGCGCGGTAGTAGATAATACTTCAAATGGAGTCCGTGTAGAAGAAGAAAATAATGGACTTCGGCTTCCAATACCATCCGAAGTAATACCTCCTTCAAAGCAGCCTGAGAATGAAGATGATCTAATCTCTTTTCACGTTACATCGCCTCTCGATGTGGCTAATCTTGATATCGAATGCGAAGATGGTGTATTAATACCATCGCAAGATGGCACTAATAGCTTAAATATGTCAGTGTCAGCGGCAGAGATTGTACCATTCCCAAAATTAAAGAAAAGCCTAATCGACGCAAAACAAAATCTCAAAAGTCAGAAATACTTTCCAGTAGCCCATATACCTACAAAAGAACTTGAGAATTTGGAAAATACCAAAGAAGTAGCACAAAAAAAGAAGACGGAACGAATAAAAAGAATATTAGTGCCTAGTTGTAATAAATCATTGCGCAACGTTCAAAAAGGGAATAAAGAAAATGATCCCGATGTAACGTGCCCAGGATGTAATGAATTATATTGAAATTCTGTTGAAGACTGGATTATGTGCTTTCAATGCAAGAATTAGTGTTACGAATCTTGTACAACTTACGTAACAGGGGACTTCATGTGTTTTAACTGTGAGGAGTAGCAGTAGATTTAAAGATGAAATAAAAATGAGTTCTAGAATATACTTTTCATATTTCTTTTTTTATGTATTTGTGTTGCGTGTATTTAAGAAATAAAGTTTGATTATTGGAATGTCTTAATATTTTTGTACACTTCAGTAATGTGCGTACTCTTAAACATATAGATGCGTACTCTTATCCAAATTTCTGTATAAGAGTACGCATTAGCAGCTTCAAACAAAATTAAATATTTCTTATTTGAATACAAACATGGTTTAAAACTATTCTCTAAAGCATATTTTTAAATGGTTGGTTAACAATGTGAGGAATGATAAATAGTCCATTTTCGTAAAAATAAAAAATGGCGCTCTTTTAATATCAAGTGCGTATACTCTTATACGCATTTACCCTATTATTTATAATACTTAAAATATTTTTAATAAAATAAAGATTCAAATTACGATTTTAAATAGTATTAATCCTCAAACTGCTAAAATATTTGTGAATCGCGGACAGCAAAATGGGTCAGAACTGACCTACATTTATCGTTGAATGGCCGTTTTTATAATAATCGCATAATCGGATATCAAAGCAAATACTCGTTTATAAATAGAAATAGCAAATATGTGTAGTACAACGTTTTAATTATTTAAATCATATATATTTCTATATATAACGCAAAATACTCGACGATAAATAAATAATACGAATTCATAGATCTTTAGAAATCAGAAAAGTTGAAGACTGTTTAGGTATATGTAGTTGCCTTAAAAAGTAATTCTTATCGAAAAGAACTTCTTAAGTCAATACTTAGGAACACTGGCGTTTCACAACTAAAATAACTGCTTATCTAGGAAATTCTTTCTTAGGTAGGTATTACTTTGGGTACGTTTGAACTAATATTGATAAATAAAAAGAAGAATAAGAAGTTATAACCTTACTTTTTTATTTGTTATTGAATTGTTTGTTTTCCAAGTTGGTTTTATTCAGTTTTGTGGTGTTATAGTTATTTTAATTAGAAGTTAGTTATTTGTAAATAAGGTTTGTTTAGTTCTGTAAATTATTTATATACGTCTAGTGACATGGAGGAAAAGAAAAGGGCTGTAAATTTCATATTAAATAGGCGAGAGTAATAGGCTAATTTTAATTTCAGATAATGAAGAAGTGCCACCAGCTCTATTGTCATTATTGAAATAATTTTAAAATAAAACATCTTGAAAATTGTTTTTTATTTTATATTTTTAATAATACACTTTTAATGAAATCATGAATGGGTTTTTGAAAGAAAATACCAGTTTGTTAGGTAGAATAGAATATCATTTTCTATTTGTTTCAACACATATAAAACTGTTAGTTTAGACATTCGAAACCTTCTAAAAAAATCCACATCGTCCAAAGTTTCAAAATAATTTAGTCGATTCTTGATAACTCGAGGTCTTCTTTCTGTTTCTTCTTCAAAATCAGATCAGGAATCGAATCGATCTAGATTTTGGATAAACTGTAGTACTTCCATATTATAAATAGTACCAAAGCAATAATTAATTGATATAAAATAATACAAAAATAACTAACTATAGAGTAACAACACACAAATTACGGTAAGAAGCAAATTATTGACAAATTTCACAAGTACATCCTTCAAAACTGTTAAACATAACCTCACTTTTAACAATAAGTAATACCTAAACTGTTTAGGGAGATCGCAAAACGTATCCTACCATTAGGTAATGCTTAAGCGGTTTAGGCAATTCTTAGCGTATGGTGAAATCCCTTTTAGAGTTAAGAAGTACCTAAGCCTGCTTAGGTAATTCTTAAATATTTAGGTATCGTCGGTGAAATCGGACATAAGTTTCCTAAGTTGACTAAGGAAAAAAATAAACTTGAATTTTCTTTTGTTATCTTGTGAACTGTTCTTTAAACACTGAAAACATCTTATAGAATTTTACTTGCTCATTTGTCAATCTTATGTGGATTGCGTATACTCTCTAAAAGAAATTGGATCTAGAATAGAAATTTGAATAAACACATTCGTGCAACTGAAGAACTTACTTTGAAACGCAACCATAAAGAGATTCACGGAAGAATTCTTCTATGCTACTACGTTTAAACATTGTACAAAACAAAAAGAGAAATCATACGATTTCTACCTGGCGAAATCGAATTCAAACATAAGCCGCCGTGCCCCCTAAGACTTGCGAAGCAAACAGCTTGATGAATGCATCGGCAAGGGAGTCTAAAAATTGCACTGCAAATGCCGTTCACCATGGCTTATATTCGTAGTGAATTCGATTTCTGGTACTCCAAATGAAGTAAATAAACAAAACAAATGACGATATTATATTTTGATTTGATACAGAGCAGCAACAAGCCGCATATACGTATTTCGATCTCTTTAGATCTCCTCAGTACGGTATAGTTACTACTCCATATCAAACCAAAATATTTTCCCCTCGTAGATTATAGTTATTATTATTAACAAGCCGCATATACGTATTTCGATCTCTTTAGATCTCCTCAGTACGGTATAGTTACTACTCCATATCAAACCAAAATATTTTCCCGTCGTAGATTATAGTTATTATTATTAATAACTATAATCTACGACGGGAAAATATTATGAGGTGGGTAGGCCATGTAATGCGGATGGAGCAAACCGACCCAGCTAGAAAAACGCTCCTTGATAGACCTATTGGTTAAAGAAGAAGAGGGAGAGGAAGCAGAACAATATTCCTAGTTAACATAGACCAAGATATGAGAAATTTGGAAACACGTGCTTGGCGGAGGAAGGCGACGGATAGGGACGACTGGAAAAAAATTCTTGGGGAGGCTAGGACCCACACAGGGTTGTAAAGCCAAAATGATGATGATTTCTGGAAATATCTCTTCTAAATAACCCTGAGCATTTACCCCAAAATGAGCTGGAGCTCCATCTTGCCAATATCTAATTAAAATTGGCACCAAACAAGTTTATCAGTGTAGGTACAATTTCATTAAGTAACATTTCGTAACTATCTGAAGTTAAATTTCCTTCGATAAATAATGACTAAATATACAGGGTGATGAATTTGAAAAACCAAAGTTACTAATAATATAAGAGAAACGGCCAATCTGGCAACATTGCAAATATTAAATATGGAATCTCCGTATCCCAAAATAGGTGTATCTTAAATTTTGTACAATTATAACTAGCAGTTTACGAGATAATTGGATGTTTCCAGACTCTTGGGCCACTCTCTATATAGGTACTCATATATCTTTGGCAAATTCTTAAATGATTCAAATATATTAAAAAAAATTCTTACGAATATCCCAGCAGCGAGCATATGGTTTTTGCAGACGTTCTTTCATCCCAATGAGCTACACATGCCGGCACCCATTTTTCTTGGTCTGGACGGTAGACTTCTAATTGTCCCTTTCCTTCATCTCCGTTTCGTTCACTGAGCCTTACTAAAACGAAAAACAAGTATATTCAATTTCATTTTATTGCTCATCTGCTTATTTTAAAAGAAAATTGTTTTATTGATTTTTTGTTAAAGATAATTATCGTTTACTTTTTTTCATAGTTTGTAATTATTTTAAAGATTCTTTCTATTAAATACATTTTGGACATTAAATCGATTATTCAAATTTACGTATCTAATAGATAACAAACATACATGTTTATCGGAGTCAATTCGTGAGAATAGTAAAAATATACAGGAAATGTGTAAAACGTTTATAAACTACAAACTACAAAATAAGTACCTACAGAGTAAATACAGAGTAATACAGAGTAAAAAATAAGTCACATTTCTATACCAATAATATTTCAATTTTGGAACTTATTTCTTTATAGTAAAATCACTTCCAAATAGATTATTTTATGGCAAAAAAATATTTACGAGAATGCAAGGAGTGTACGGACAGGCAATTATAATAATAATTTTATCAACTTCAAACAGAACGATAAATGCAATGTAATTATACCGTTTGTAGATGACACAGATGCTTTAAACATCAAATTTAATATAAATGAATACAAAGATGCATTAAACTAATTTAAAGAGACTAGTGACAGCCCCAATAATATCCCAATGGTTTTTCTTAACCATTTACCTGAGAATGCAAACAATCATCTTCTTAACATATTTAATATTATTTGGACAGAACAGAAATTTCCAACAGCGTGGAGATATTCTATTATAATACCAATATTAAAACCAAAATGTCCCAAAACAGAGTCTTATACACAAATTGCACTAAGATGTACTGCATGCAAACTGTTACAATATTATAGAAAGCAGATTACTGTACGTTTTAGAAATTAAAGAACATTGCCTTGCATTTATAAAAAACTTCTTATATAAAAGGTATATGCAAGTTGGAGTAAATGGTAACTTGTCGTCAAAACTGGAGTTAGAAAATGGAATTCTCCAGGGGTCTGTTATAAGGCCTACGCTATTTTAATTGCGTAAATGATGTTCTTTAAAACTTCCACTTAAAGGCCTTATAATGCTGACGATCTCATAATATTTGGTCAAAGCAAAAACTTAAACAAACTCTCACAACTTGCACAGAATTTCTTCTTAGATGTTGAAAAATGATCATAGAAAACTGGATTTATCTTTTCAACAACTAAAACTAAATATTTAGTAATTTCTAAAAACAAAGTCAGCACATCAATCTCATTATATCTATACAACCAATCACTACAACAAAAAGATTCGCTAAAATTGCTAGGAGTTACTTTTGACAGAAAGTTGAATTGGAAAGAACATATCAATAATCTAACATGTAAATGTTACAGAAGATTAAATTTACTAAACATTCTAGTACACAAGAAGTGGGGTTTAGACAGGAGTACATTTACGAAAACTATGTACAAATTACGACTCAGCAACGAAATCGGTCTTTAAGTTTTAATACCTGGGCAGCTGGATCAGTGAAGATCTGAATCGTAACTTAAAAATCCTAGCCCGAATTGAAATGGCAAAGAATGGTCAAGAAATGCGAAGGCTCTTATGCGGTAGGTCACTCAATATGCCCACGCTCAATACACCATTATATGGAGTTGAAGAAAGGACGCTAAAAGTTGCTAATTTGAACAGACTTGAAGCATCTTCTTCTTGTGGTGCTTATCCGTTACGGATGTTGGCTAATATGTAACCAAACATACCTAATTTACTTCGGCCACATAGCTAGAAGAACGGGGAGCGTAGAACTATTGGTAGTAGAAGATAAGGTAGAAGGCAGAAGACCACGAGGAAGATTTACAACACGATGGTAGACCAAATGAAGACTCAGATGGGAAAATTCCTACATGAAGCCGTCCATTAGGCACATGATCGCAGCCAATGGAGACAGCAAGCTAACAATATTTTAAGTGTCACCACGCGTTGACAAGGGCTCAAGGATTAAGGAGGACAGACTACAGGGCTACAAAATTACTTAGTGATATCATAAAAATATGAGAGAGAGGGGGAGTAATTGATAGACGGATACGTGAAGAAACCGAAATATCCGATGATGCAAGGCAGATCAAAAACAGATACAATTTTCATTACGTGGCAGCTGATGGAAAATACAGGAACAAAGAAACAAATGCTCATATGGTATTCATTGATATTAAGAAAGCATATGATAAAGTTCCTCGAGAGATGATGGACTACCCAGTGATTATGTGAGAGTCATGTATTAGGGAGCAACAAATAGTTTTAAAAAAGGTATGGGAGAGGCTGAAAAAATGCATGTAAAAGTAGAATGGTATCAGGGCTACGTGCCTAGTCCTTAATAGTGTTGGATAAGATAACAGGACAACTACAGAGTAACATTTAATGAAGTTAAATAAAATGATAGTTTTGGATGGTGAATTAATTGTGAAAAGTAATAATTTTATGTATCTAGGATTAGTATTCCACATTAATGGAGAACTACCAGATTCCACTATCAGTGAACGTTACAGAAATGCAATAAAGTCTGTAAAAACTTTTCCTGGTGCCGATGTTCCATCTGATCACAATATGTTGTTAGTCGAAATAAAATTAAAACTTAAACGGATAAAACAACAACGATCCTATAACAAACTGGATATGGATTTTATTGAAAACAATAGTCAGATGATTGCAAACAATTTAGGATGCAATTTTGAGGATTATGAACAACAAGAATCCATCGAGGGTCATTGGAATAAAATCAAAATTATTATAAGCGACTCAACTCCAAACTTAAAAGAGAGCAGTCAAAAAAAGCAACAGTGGATGAACGATGGGATTTTGAATTTGATGGAAAAAAGACGAAATTTAAAAACCAAAGCGTTGAAATGTATAAAGTAATTAATGAAGAGGTAAGGACTAAAATAAGCGATATAAAACAAACATACTTCGAAAACAAATGTTTATAAATTGAAGAGTTACAGGGAAAACATGATTCATTTAATACGTATAAAAAAGTCAGAACAAGAAACAGGCAAATAGCATCGTTAATAGAGACGGAAAACTGATTATCACTAATTTGCATCAAATAGACAGATGGACGGAGTATATTGAGGAACTGTTTCAGTGATGAAAGGCCCGAGCTTGAAATTAACGAAGTAGTTACAGGACCTGACATAACTATGGACGAAATTGAACAAGCAATACGATTAGCAAAGACCCGAAGCGACGGGACCAGATGAAATACCAAGTAAAATAATAAAGCTCTTCGAAAGTTCAGGTAAAATATCTCTCCTTCATATGTTTAATAAAATTTATGAAACTGGCTATATACCAACGGATTGGTGGTTGTGGACTTTTGTGACGATACTTAAAAAAGCAAATGCGAAAAGATGTAGTGACTACCGAAGTATCAGCTTGATGAGTCATGTTTTAAAGATATTTCTACGAATTTTGCACTCTAGGATGTACCAAAAAATAGAACAACAACTTGGTGACACACAGTTTGGATTCCGCAATAACCTTGGAACAAGAGAAGCACTATTTAGTATTCAGGTTATGGTACAGAGATGTCGGATATCCAGTTTATATGTGTTTTATTGACTTTGAGAAGGCCTTTGATCGAGTAGAACATACTGAAATGATAGCCATTCTTCAGCAGGTATGTATTAATGATAAAGACCTACTCATTATTAAAAATCTTTACTGGGATCCGAAGAATGTTAAAAATCTCCTGGAAGGATAAGATAACTAACCAAGTTGTATTAGACAGGATGAACAAACAAAAGGAGGTCGTATTGAGTGTTAAAATGAGGATACTACAATACCTGGGACATATTACACGTGGGAATAAATATCAACTGTTACAACTAATTATGCAAGGAAAGATTGAAGGTAGGCGCAGCATAGGTAGGAGAAGAATGTCGTGGTTGAGAAACCTCAGGGAGTGGTTTGTTTGCACTTCCATACAATTGTTCCGAGCGGCAGCCTCCAGGGTCAAAATTGCCATGATGATAGCCAACCTTCGTAGCGGAGATGGCACGTGAACAAGAAGAGAAAGACTGGGATCAACGTGCAAACATCAGGATTGGCCGGGATACTTCTGAAGAGCTTCAAATACGAAGAGGAGAAAGGCAGGGTACATTTTGTCCCCGCTACTATTTAACATCTATTAGTTTGTGTTCAATAAAGCAGTGGATAATGTTCAATGTGGTATAAAAATGAATGGCGTCAATATTAATAATTTAAGATATGCGGATGACACAGTGTTAATTGCAAGCAATTACGAAGAACTTCAACATCTAATTAATATGATTACCACAACGTGTGATGAATATGGCCTTAAGCTAAACACCGCAAAGACAAAGGTGATGGTCGTCAGTAAAACGAAAATACAATCAGAAGTAGTAACAGCTTATGGAGAACAACTGGAGAGAACTAACAGTATCACTTACCTTGGTTGTAATCTAAATGAGATCTGGGACATGAGCAAAGAAATTAGAATACGGATAGAGAAGGCTAGAACTGCATTCTTTAAGATGAAGAAACTGTTATGTGGAAACAATATTACTTTAAGTCTAAAAATTAGACTAGTGAGATGTTATGTGTTCTCTACTCTTTTGTATGGTGTCGAAGATTGGACTTTGACGGATAGACTTTTCAAGAAAATTGAAGCCTTTGAAATCTGGGTGTATCGGAGAATCCTACGAATAAGTTGGCTGGATAGAGTTCGTAACGAAGTTGTTTTGCATCGGATGGGAAAAGTTACGGAAGTCGTCAAAACAGTTAAAAATCGCAAACTTGAATATTTTGGCAATGTTATGCACCACACAGAGAGATATAATATACTCCATTTTATAATACATGGAAAAGTAGACGGAAGAAGAGGGCCAGGTCGAAGAAGAACGTCATGGCTTAGAAACCTGAGAGATTGGTTTAACAGATCCTCTGCATCTCTTTTCCGAGCTGCCGTCAACAAAATTACTACAGCCAATTTGATAGCCAACGCTCGATAATCGAGCTCGGCACATGAAGAAG